AATAAGACAGAAAATATAATTGTTATTTTAAAGCAGGGAGAGAGTGCTTTAAAATGGTATATGGAACGGAGATGTACTGTAAGGTTAGGGCAGTGGTTCTCAACTTATTTATCATTGTGGGCCGCAGGGGCCGGGTGGCAGGGCAGAGGCAGCCATGCACAGCTGCCCCAGAACCCGGAGCTCATGAAGCTGGCTGCGAGCCCTGGATCCCTGAACCCGCAGGGCTGGCCAGGAGTTCCGGACCCCGCTGTGCGGGGCATCCCAGGCCCCACCCCGCCGCACCAAGCAGCTGGGAACCCAGATCCAGCCATGCGAGCTGGCCGGCCTTTAGCCAGACCCAGCTGTGTGCTAATTGGACTGCTGGTTGAGAACCACTGGCTTAGGGTTTTTTTATACATCTGGCCTGAGTCGTATTTTTTTTTAATCATGTACTTTATTATTGCATGATTTTCTCTGATCTTTCTCACTCCCTGTTCTCTCTAAAAAGTTACTAAATGCAATGGCATTTTGAATCAATGCAAATTTTAATTTGTTTTGATGAATGTATGAGTTGTTTGACAAAAGATATTGTTTTAAAAATCTAGCGCCAATAATGGATAGATGAAACTTTAATCCTCAAATAAATCACGTGTGAAAGGTTATCTGAAAAATATGTAAATTCTATTTTTGCTTATGTATCTTTTACACACACTTTTGTTTGTTCTCTCACACATGCACTATGGGAAGTGAATGCCATGAAATGTGGTGAGGGGATTTTAGCACATCTGGACATTTGATATCTTAAATAAACTTCTGCAAAATGTATTCCATCCCCATGATTACTAATGTTCCTTTTCTTTGTCAAGACCTAGACCATATCCTGGTGCATATGCTGCACTTAACATCCATTAGCGCTGAATTATCAGTTCTGTGAGATACAGGAAATTTCCCTCTCTTCCTCTTCAATATTCAGTGGTTCTACAACATTTTCTATATTTTAAATGGCACAAGCTATAAAAATATTATATAATCTGATAGAACCATCATATTTGTTGGGATGAGGGATGGCGCTCAGGTCCGAGAGAAACACTGGGAATGGGGAAAAGGCAATAATCATACTACTGAATATCAGAACCCTATGCTCAAAGGTTTTCGAGTGGTGGTTGAGATGTCATTCACGGAGTACATGCTCATACCTTGCAAGTAGTAGGAAGCTAGATGCTGTGGCATGGACTATGTTTCAGACGTGCAAAATGTATGCTAACGTTTTGTGTTTTCTCTTTCTTTTGAGGGGGGTGTCGAGGTTGGGCCATCTACCACCTAACGCCAAAATATATTTGTTTTTTATTTTTATCATTCTCATCCCTCTTTATATATATATATATATATATATATATAATAAACTAC